GCATTTAGGATTGTGTTCACACCAAGTGAAAGATTTAGACTTACTTTGTAGGTCAGATGACGGGCACTTGGGGACCAGAGGCCAAGGAAACCTGAGGGATAGGTAAGACTAACAACCCAACAAATAGCAATGTGTTGTCCATATCTAAAGGTGCTCAGCGCCGGCTGATAATTACAGTAAGAACTCAAGTACTAAATGGATGGTTAATGGAGTGACTTTGGCATGCCCTATCAAATCTGTTGCTATTTTCAGACTATATCTAGCATATTTTACAAATAGAGGATATATAACACCACTCATGTTAGAAACTTATCTTCTATAATCTTACTTAGGCTTCTTAGAAAAAGAAACCACCCAATGAATTCCACAGGAACACATATATGAAATGCTATATGCTCTCTGCTTCTATGGCCTTCTGGTCCTCAGGCACGAACTGCTTTCATCTGTAGGTTTCAGGTATGATAGTCTCTGGGATCTATTCTATTGTTAGCTGGGGATTCTGAAGATGCAAGGAACTTTACCAGTAGTGATGAGGGCCAGCAACAAGACAACTTTGCTAGCGGCTTTAGTCCAGCCCAGAGCCACTGTAATAAGACTTTTACTGGGGATATTTTATATCATTTTCATAGCAATTCTAGAGCATTACTGTCCTGGGTTTAAAGATGAATGAGCTAAGGTTCCGGGAAAGTAAAGCACTTTCTCAAGGTCTTGGAAAACTGAACCGTGTTTCATTTCCTAAATATGCACATCCTTATGACTGCTAGCTTCCCTCTACCTGGAGACCAGAGCTGCCTCCCCAGCGGCTCACTATCTTCCTGGGGCTTCTGTGTTGCCCACAGCATGGGCTCTACATCTAGAGTCCTCTGGTTTCCAGTCATGGGTCATTCTGTGTCATCAGACCTTCCTGGTGCTTTGCCAAAGTCACAGCATCTTTTGGTGATGTATAGTCTTTTTCCAAATGCCTATATGTGCAGAGGGACTGAGACAAGTGTTCTTGTGGTGGTCTGCTCCCAGAGCCACATGCTTGGAATCCTACAGAAGAATCTGGAAGCTCTTGCTTCTCCCATTTCCCATGGGCCCCCAAACTTGTGACCCCAGAGAATACTCCCTTTCTGTCTTCCTGCAGTTCTCTGTCCTGCTGAAGGCTTCTGTTAGACCAGTGCTTCTCAACCTTCCTAATGTTGTGACTTTTGAATACAGTTCCTCACGTTGTGGTGACCCCCAACCATAACATTATTTCCATTGCTACTTCATGACTGTAATTTTGCTACTGTGTTTTCCAATGGTCTTCGGTGACCCCTGTGAAAGGGTCATTCACTCACGACCCACAGGTTGAGAATCACTGTGCTATGGACTGCACTCATTAGATGGAGGACTAGTTAGAGATGAGTGAAGGCAGGCCAGCCTGACGCTGGGTCAACAAGACCAGGCTTGGCTGCTCTAGAGAGTATTGCTCTAGTAAGGTCGGTGAGTGGGGAGTGGAGCTGGGGAGGAGTATGTCGAGGCACGAGGTTGAGAGAACAATGGAGTGAGCAGACATTTCCCTAGTGATTAAAAAGGTTTGGCTCTTGTCAGGTTCTCCTTTCAAAGGACACATAAAGAAACAAAAATGAAGTTTTCGAGGGACAATGGGCTTCAGTGGTCCCTGTGAATCTGTGGGACTATGTGGAAGGAACTTCTCAAGCTGCACACCACAGAGTGGACTCTGTGTGTGTGTGTGTGTGTGTGTGTGTGTGTGTGTGTGTGTGTGTGTGTGTGTGTGTGTGTACAAGCATGATAACCTGAGTCTGACTTTCAGCACCAGGAAAGCTGGGTGTGGTGGTTTGTGCTTCTAAGCCCAAGGCTGGGGAGAGGAAGGGCAGGAGTCCCTGGGATTCACTGCCCAGATAGTCTAGTTGAAAGGTCCAGGTTCAGGGAAAGACCCTGTCTCACAACAGAAGATGGATGGCTCCTAAGGAGGGACCCTGACCTCTGGCTTCTGCACACATGTGCTGCACTTGTGTACATGCACACACACAAGTGTGTGCACATGCATGCACATAACATATATCAAGCTTTTCTAAAAATATTAAGAATTGGAAAATCAGGCATACATCCTTGTTTTTACTTTCTAAATTCAAGAATTTTATGATGAAGATTTAATGAGCCAGTGGGATTTCAGAACCAACCCTTCTCCAGACACTCTCTTGCAGTGTTCTACCCTGTGCAAATCATTTTGGTGAGAACTCTAGACCATGCTTTTCTTGAACCTCTAAATAACTTGTACCCAAACATCTGTCACGTTTGTTTGTTTTCTTAGACAGATGGAGTCAGCAGAGAGGGCAAACAGGGAACCATTGACCTAGATCTCCAAGTCTCTAACTAGAGAATGGTAGGCTCCTGGCAGGTAGTGGAGCTGATTACTGTTTGGGAGCACCGTGGAGTGAGTGCGTACAGCAAGGAAACATTTCATTGTTCCCCCACCCCAAGTAATTCTTATTTTTACAAAACACCTTTCCTGTTTCAGTTTGGACTCCTACAGTCTCAAAGGACCTTGTTGGAAACAGTCTTTGGAAGGGTGTGTCCCTTGCTTTCTAACCACTGGGCAGGTTCCTGTCGTTACAGGCTATCCACTGACCAGGTGAACCTCACTCTTGAGGAATGCAAACAGCTGTAATGTGTTGTGGTTACTGCTGTCATGCATGCTTATTTTTTAACCTCCTGGCTTCAGTGACAACAGGTGACTCAGCTCAGACTCAAGTGCACATGAACCCATGCAGACTTTGAAATATCAACTCTTATCAACTTGGGTATCATTTTTAAGCAAACATGACTGTAGGCATAAGACTAACGAAATACATTTCACATACAGGCTTGTTAAAGTGACAGAAATTACTTTGCAAAGATATAATGAAAGAAACTTGGCAATCTGAAGAATCTCTGGCATCCAAGTTCACAGGGCTCCTGTGATGACAATGACCTTCACATCAAATCCATGCCACTTAAAGCCTATTAACCCCTTCCATTTACTGTGACAGAATGAAGCTTTTGAGTTAAAATAAGATTAGTTAACAAAATATTAAACTACAACTTCCAAATGTTGGCTTTGGCAGGCTTGATGTGCCTTTTCTTTGTGTGTGTGTGTGTGTGTGTGTGTGTGTGTGTGTGTGTGTGTGTGTGACATGCACATATGTGTGTGTTTATATGGAGACCAGAAGTTGCCCATGGGTGTAGCTCTCCAGGAGCAGTTGACCTTGTTTTCTGAGACAGAGTCTCTCACTGGCCTATACCTCACTATTAGGCTGGCTAGCCAGTGAGTTCCAGAGATCTGCTTGTCTCAGATTCTCCTGTGCTGGGATTAACAAATGCATGCCACCATGTTTGGCATTTTTACATGGGTTCTGGAGCTCAGGGTTAAGTTATCATGCTTGCTTTACTGACAGCCATATCTTCAATGCTGATGTACAACTTTTTCTAATCTACTTTCTTCCCAAGAATATTTCTAGGGCCACTGAAAGCTAAGAAAACCATTAAAAGCTTAAAACATTTAATTTTACATTTCTAGCTTTACCTGGTCTATGGCACCTGTTTGGGGATACTGACTGAACGTTGATAAAAACAATTATGAAAGCTCTGGGAGCCTGAAGGGCTTGTCAGAAGCCTCCTTCTAAGTCTCCTGATGCCCAGCCGAAGGCCCAGAGGCCTTGATTAGCTTCTCAGAATTACAAGATAGCTTGGTAGTTAAAAGTGCTTGTGACACAAGCCTGATGACCTTAATTCAATCCCTACAAGCCAAGGTGGAAGGAAAGAGCAGACTCCCAAAAGCTGTCCTTTGATTTCCACATGTATTCTGTAGCACACACACAGACACACAGACACACACACACACAGACACACACACAGACACACGCACAGATGCATGCACACACAAGTAATACGTTTAATTTAAAATCTCCACAGAGCTAAAGAGGCATAGTAGTGCATGCCTGGAATCCCAGCATTGGAGAGGCTGAATCATGAGTGTGAGGCAAGCCTGGGCAACATAGTGAGACCCTATGTCCAAAGCAAAACCAACCCCCAGTTACCAAACCACAGTTATTGACAGAGCTGGTCTAGACTGTTGACGGCAAACCTACTGTACCCAGACTCTTCTCATTTGTTATGCAGTTAGGCTAATGAAGCCCGAAGAAGTCTATGGCTAGGAACAAAGCCCATCTCAAGGGTCCCCATAGTTATATGTTATGTAAACACCCAGGCATTCCCATTTGCCAGATCAATTATAGTAGAAACCTGCCTTGGGGGTATTACTGCTTAAGAAATCAGTTTGACTTTCCTACACAAAGGAAACAAAACCTTCATACCAATGTTTCCTTAACCTCGTATGCAATGAATTAATCAGAGCCCAGAGGGTTCCTCCAAAATGGAGAGCTATGCTACCTTACATGTATCATATGTGAAATGGCCCCAGTGTTATCTTGCATTCCAGAGCTTTAAGTATCAGTTAATTCATTTGCCAGATGTTAGCAGGTGACAGATGTCAGGTACTGGTAAATGAAGTCTCAATGGCAATGTGTTTGTGAACAGTGAAGGCACAGGGCCTACTCATGATGTCAATGTCGAGGGCTTCCCTTGGTGTGTTGGAAAGTGTTGGGCAGGAGACACAGCAGCATATCAGGAGAGAGACCAGGCGGGGACTTGCCTCTGTTTACCTATGTCTCGGGCCAGCCGACACTCTTTACTTCAGCACAGTCATAATTTATTTGAACAGGAAGGAGGTGGCAGAGTGTGTACTTGACCTCAGACATTAAACACTCAAGTTTTCAAAGTACTGAATCGTGATGCCAGCTTCAGTTCAGAGGCAACGGCTGAGCTCAAAGCACAGGACAGGAGCCACCTTAACCAAAGGTTAGCCTCTCATCGCAGAGGCAGGCGTTGAAGGATGCCTGTGGTGCCTACCTACGTCAGGCGTGTGTGCTCTAGCTCCCCACTGCAAGCTCCATGGACTTTGGCAATGTCATTACCTGCCTTGGCTGGTTGACTTTTGCTCCTGAAGACAGAAGTAGCCGAATGACATCCAAGTAACCACCCTGGGCAGCTAGGAAGAGGGCAGTGGCTCCATCCTGAGAGAGAACAAGTGTTCAGATTCAGGCTTCATATTTGTTTTTTAAAATTAAAGGTACATATACTTAATAAAACTCCCCATTTGCATTCTCTTTTCTGTTTCTGTTCTTTTGCTAATTAATTGCTATGAGCTTTGCAGACAGAATTATTTGTAAACGGAAGATTTTAGTGATGGAACTGTCTCACATGGTCCCATAGCCGTTTAGTCCCAAATAAACACATAGAGGCTTATATTAATTAAAAACTGTTTGGTCGATGGCTCAGGCTTCTTATTGGCTAGCTCTCTCTTACTTATTAAGCCATTGCTATTCATCTGTGTATCTGCAGATGGCCTTGGCTTACTGGTGATGCCCAAGCCTCTTGCTTTTTTGGCAGCTACATGGCATCTCTCTTGACACTTTCTCTCTCTACTTTCCACTTCCCAGCATTCTCCTAGTCTGATAGCCCTGCCTATACTTCCTGCCTGGCTACATCCTGCCTGTCCATTGGCTAAAAAAGCTTTATTCATCAACCAATAAAAGAAACATATATTCACAGCATACAGGAGGATATCCCCCACTAAGCTTTTAGGCAGACAAATGGTGCAGATGTATGTGTGCACACACACACATATGCACACCAGCACACACACACACACACACACACACACACACACACACACACACACACACACACAGAGGCCAGAGGACAAGTTTCCTGGGTAATTCCTCAGGAAGGCACTGTCCACTTTGTTGAGATCTTTCACTGACCTGGCGCTCACACCAGACTGAGGGATCTCACTGTCTCTGCCTCCCAGGTGCTGGGATTGCATGCATAAGCCACCACATTCAGCTTTTAAAAACATAGTTTTAGATTTATTTTGTTTATGTGTATTAACGTTTTGTCTGCACATACATGTGAACCAGATGTAACTCCTTAGAACTGGAGTTACAGATGGTTGTGAGCCACTGTGGGTGCTTGGAAGTAAACTTGGGTCCTTTGCAGGAGCAACACATGCTTTTAACTGCTGAGCCATCTCTCCAGCAGACCCAGCCTTCACGTCAGGAAGCAAGCACTTTCTAACTGAGCCGTCTCCTCAGAATCCATTCCTGTGCCTTTATGAGCTGGGAGTTCGTCTTTCCCTTGGCATCTCTCTCTCACTCCTTTATCCATGTCCCTCAGGGTGCAGCTTCTCGAGTATTAAATGGCACGGTGTCTCAGTGGCAGAGTACTAGACTAGAACCAGCACAAAACGGTGATTTCAGAAAACCTGCCTTCGAAAGACTCTCTCCACCTTGCTGCTCCCTGCCAGCCCAACAGACGCCAGCAGCACCTATAAACACAAGGGGCAATTTGCACCAAGTCCAAGCAAGAGCCCCGGTCTCTATGAGCTTTTCTATGTTCGAGGGTACTCTGTCTTCTCTTTCTTTCTCAGAAACATGTCTTCCTGATTTCAGCAAAATTCTAGGTTGCCTTTGTCCAGATGCTCACTTCATAGTCTGTGCATACATACAGGACAAACTCTTATCACTTCTACTCCACAGCAGAAAGCCAGGACATGCTCTTGTGCTGTTAACACCTAACTAATTACCACACCTTGTGCTGGGAATGCTAGAGGCAAGCTGAAACTCCAAACACCTTTTGGCACAAGTCCAACTAGGCGTGTCACATGGGCGTCTGCTGAGCTACCAGATTAGCCTGGAAGCAATCATTAAAAACACACCAGCCTGTAGGGATTTTTAGGCTGATGTTTTATTGTAGCTGTAAATTTTAGCTGCTCCTTAGTGTACTGGCTCAGAGAGTTTCCCCATGCCCTCAGCTGCGGCGAACTCTGTGGTCTTTTCTGAGGCAGGCTATCTACACATTGAGTTTCTCACTGTGTATTACAACTTTTAGTTACCACTTGTTTTCAGAGATCTTTGACATGTACCCCCCATCATTTTTTATTTTAGTTTTTGATACAACTTCTCACTCCACAGCCCAAGTTCCATTTAGGAACTCACTCTGTGGACCAGGCTGTCCTTGAACTAACAGATGCACCTGCCCCTGCTTCCCTTAGTACTGAGATCAAAGGTGGGTGTCACTACACCCAAGCCAACTGTTTTTAAAATAAATATTTGGATCATTTCGCTAAAAGTAAAAATTAATTTAAAGCACATGAACTTTCCTAATTCACTGTATAACAGAGAAGAATTTTCTATGAATAGGGGACTGAGCTGAAGTCTATGTTTCCAAGAGCCTTCTGGAAGGATATTGACTGATGAGTAGGAATTATATATACATCCATCTTCAATTTGACTGATAATTCTGAGCCTTGCTGTGAAAATAAAAATTAATTTCTATTTCCAAAGTTTCTGAAAGCCGTTTCATCCAGCCCCACAGGACAGTAATCCAGACCCTCAACTATTCTTTACTTACATCCATCCATAGAGAGGTATCCAAAGCTTTAGACGGACATTTATTCTTCCTTCTTTTTTGTGTCTGTGGTATATCTATGTGTTTATGTGTGTGCACATGTGTGGATACATGTGTGCATGCATGTGCACTCAAGTGAACAGGTTAAAGGTCAACAGCAGGCATCCTCAGTTGCTCTTCACCTTGTTTTTGGAGACAGATAGGGTCTCACTGAACCCACAACTCACTATCAGTTTGGCTTTTGGCCAGCAGGCCCTGGAACCTTCCTGTGTCCATTGTCTCAGTGCTGGGATTATCGGGACACCAGAGTCCAGCTCTGTATGTGGGTGCTCTGAATCCAAGCCCTGGTTCTCCAGTCAGCACAGCAAACCACTGAGCCGTCTCCCCAGCCCTGCCTGTGCCCTCAGGCTTGAGAATGCACCAGAGCCTCCTCAGCTGTGACCACAGAGACTGGCTCTGTGGTCTGAGGGGATTCCTGGGAGCTGGTGGTTTGGAACGCTCCACAGGCGCGTCTAATGGGCAGCCAGGTTGAAAAGCATTTGGCTGGAGAGTGACCAAGGATCTCAGGCCCCAAGCCTTACAAACTTTGAAGTGCCAGAGGTAAGGCTACTGCTGTGGACTTCAAAGAGGCCTGTGGTTTGTCAGAGTTAACAAGGGAAGCTTTGGAAAGGGAAGGGTGTTCAAATGGAAACCCACACACCTACACAGCACATTATATGGCAGTGAAAATCCAGTGCCTTTGGCTTAAGGGTTCACAGTGTGCTTGAGCAATGGCCTAAGATACAGTTCCTGGATAAATGGGAGCAGGACTCTCTCCCTCCCCTCCCTGAGACTCTGTCAAGACATCTCATCTTTCCATATTTTATTTTTCCTACAACATGTGTCATAGAGCCTATGGAATTACAGTGACAATTAAAAAAGTCCTTGGGCTATGAACTAATTGCCAATTAACTGTGAACAGACTCACAGTGGCACAGATGCCCTTCACAGTCCTGCCTTTGCATACATCTCCAATGTTTCCACCTCTCGTTTCTCTTGACCAACTTGGTTCCTCTCCCTGACACGTTTCTGCACTAGTGTCTTTAGAAGGGGGTGGAGTCCACACACTGGACCATGTGGCTTGTCATGGCAGGAGTAACTATGCCTCCGAGGACTCTGGGCAGCTTAACTGCACTATTGAAATATGCTAGATGTGCAACGGATCTAAAAGGGACATGGTTTCCATTGCAGGGAAAGCTCATCTCATCCGCTGATTTTCCCTTGAGGGCACAGATGAAAATCCCACTGTGCAGGGCTGGAAAGATGGCTCAGAGGTTAGCACATACTGCTCCTCCTGAGGACCTAAGTTCAATTCCCAGCACCCACATCTGGTGGCTTACAACTGCCTATAAACCAGCTCCATTGGATTTGATGCCTCTGACCACTGTGGTCACGTGCATTCACAAACACATACACACACACACCTGTACATGTAATTAGAATAATAAAAATAAATCTTCAAAAAAGAGAAAACCCCACTGTGCAGTGAATATTACTGTAAATTGGCATTTCTGACATTGGGATTTAGATTGAATGTTAGATGTGGTCAAGGGGTAACACTCACATAAAGTTGGTCATGGATGTTGGCTCCATGTTTCAGCAAGGTCTCCACCACTGGCATGTGCCCATATTGACTGGCAGCCAACAGGGCAGTGCCCCCATCCTGTGCAAGGGAAGAACAATGCTCTGTACACGGTGCACCCTGTATTTTACCGGGCACACTCTTCACATAAAATTGGGAGAATATTCCAAGAGGTAATAAACTCACCTCCCTTCTGTCATCTTCTGCCTTGTCTTTATTTTTTAAAGACTTATTTTATTTCTTACGTGTGTGTGTCTGTGTGAGTGCATGCCACGTGTATTCGGGGTGTCCACAGAGGTCAGAAGAAGAGTGTTGGATGCCCTGCAGAAGACCGTGAGCTACCCACGTGGGTGATGGACACTGAACTCAGGTCCTCTTGACCATGGAGTCATCTCTCCAGCCCGCACCTTGTTTTTTGTTTTCAATCATGAGGGATTTCACCTTAAGGACATGCACATGTTGTGTATAACCTGCAGGGGAATGTCATCTTAAGGACATGCACATGTTGTGTATAACCTGCAGGGGAATTTCATCTTAAGGACATGCACATGTTGTGTATAACCTGCAGGGGAATGTCATCTTAAGGACATGCACATGTTGTGTACAACCTGCAGGGGAATTTCATCTTAAGGACATGCACATGTTGTGTATAACCTGCAGGGGAGCAATGGAGTTACCTCACCAGGTTACTGCCATCATAAAATACCCTGTGCCAAGGAAGGAAGTGTCCGTATGCCTCTCAGTGAGAGAAGTGCATCACACGTCTAGGAACTGTCAGTTCCAGGCCAGAGTCGCCAGAGAAGCCTTCCACAGCTTCTGCCCAAAGCCCCTTTGGCTTCTCCCTGTGGTGCTATTTGGTTATAAGTCACCGAGTTGAAGATGTTTAGCTGCCTACAGCCATAGTTTTCACGGCCCAAGATTGGCCTCCATTAGAAGATCATATGACAACATCATGGTCCACATGCTTCTCACTGTCTCACTTAGCGTTTCCTTTGAGCATGCGCCAGGTCGTCTGGGTCTCATAAAGCATGGGCCCTGAGACTACATGGAGCGCTATAAAGTCATCACGGTCTACTTCAGAGTGGGGTATCCCTTCGTCCCATCAGATCCATTATTATCTCTGTGGCTGAAATTAGAACAGGCACTTATGCCAACCACATCACAGGACAGACTCACCGAGTCTGTGGTCAAGGGGCCATTGATAGCTTCCCTCCGGTGCCAATTACCAGGCAGCAGCTTTCCTACCTCAGAGTGATGCTTGGCTCTGTGAACTGCGATGTGGAGACTTAGACTAATTATGAGTAATTCAACAACACATAACCTAACTAAAAATACTACTATAAATATGATAGTGTAGTTCCGAATTTGGGCGTAGGTTTCTTATTGTTGTTGTTGTTTTTTATTCAGAGCAAATTCTATCCTCAGAGGGTCTGATTCATAAGGTCTTGGGGGAGGCCCAGAAAAATAAGCCTTTTAACTGGTCATGTCGGGTGTGGCTGTGATAGTCAGGGGCAGATGGCATCACTGGTAAAATGTCTGCTATGGAGTCTTGTTTTCACAGTTTAAGAGGCATCCTGGTGCATGACAGTCGATAGAGAAGATGTCATGGAGGGAGGGACTGTCTGCTAAGGAATAGGGCTGGAATTGAGGGGGAGGGGTGGAAGGCTGAGGACGGTGGCAAGATGGGGGGCATCAAGGCATTGCTTAACAACAGCAATGCCTATTGCTCTCTTGAAGCTTTGTCCTGTCAGCTTTCTGCTCTCTCTGCCTGATGAGGTCAGAGAATAGTAAAATACAGTGTCTCTGACAGAGGACCAACCTCTTTTATTAAAAACCTTTCAGGCTAATGAATTGCATGCAGCTAGTAATGAAGAGGCTGATTTTTAAAACCACCATCAGTTTTGACGACGTGTTCACGTTAAAACTCACAGCCTCCTGACATGTACTTCTGTCCATGGAAAGCTCTTTAAACCCCTGCAGTTGACCTCAAGGAGGCAGGGAATTGCTCATCCTGGGCTCTGTGTTCAGTGGATTTGTGGAAGCACAGATTGGCTCCTGCAAGAAGGCTTTAAGCCACATTAACTTGTCAGGCAAGAAGATGACTGGAGTAGACATGTGGTCACATATGGTCATTCTGACTTAGTTCTAGGGTTGAGATTTAGGCTCAGTGAACTTGCTACTTTAGTTGTAGCACATGTAAGTGAGCACACGCATGTGCTCGTGTGCAAGCATGTGCACAGGCTCACCCATGTGGGTACATGTGGAGTCCAGAGGTTGACATCAGGCTGTCTTCCTCAATTGCTTCTGAGACAGGGTCTGTCAGTGAACATGCAGTCTATCATTTTGTCTACACTGGTTGCTACCAGGATCTACATGTCTCTTTTGCCCCTCACCCTCAGGGTTGATGATACAGATGTGTGCCACAGTGCGTGACTCACTAGGACCAAGTTGTATGCCCAATAACTCCTATTCCTGTATTGGAACTAATGTAGAAACAGAAATAGGGATGGCTAGAGAGACTCCTGGTTATAAAGCTTAGTGTCCCCGAACAGAAAATAAATGATGCAAGAAAGAGTTAAGAGAGTAATTCCCCATGAAATTTTCCATGTGAAAACCTTAGAGGGGGTCCAAAGGCTGGCTAACCCTGAGCCACTTGTGACCTCATGAAACCAATTTCCTGAGGTTTCAGACTCTTCCAACAAGAGAAGCACATATTTGTGCCATGGATCAGGAGAAAATGAATGGCATGGCTGCGGAAAGTCTTCAACAGGGCGTGGAAAGTCAAGACCTCAGTTTTCTTACTTTGGTCCTACATTCAGTGGATGCTCCGAATCCAAAGAGAAATCTCACGACGTCATTGTGGCCTTGCTGGGCAGCAAAGAACAGGGCAGTTGTACCTGACTGGGAGAAAGAGGGGATGGCTTTAAAGAGACATTAACAAAATGAATTTGCAAATAAAACAGAGCAGTGTCTGCATAGACACTTCTTAGCCCCACATTTGATTTGTTGCGATTTCCTTTCTAAAACTTTATTTTTTTAATGTGTGATGTTTTGTCTGCACATGTGTCAGTGTGTCATAATATGTGCAATGCCCATGGAGTCCAGAATACCACATAGGATCCTCTGAAACTGGAGTTACAGAGAGTTGTTAATTGCCGCGTGAGTGCTGGGGATTGAACCTGGGTCCTTTGGAAGCGCAGTCAGTGCCCTTATCACTGAGCTACATCTCTAGACACTGATGTCAGCTTTTGGTGAGAAAAATGACATGAAAGGGAGACTTTGTTCTAGTATACTAGAGTGGATGGTCTTGCCCCCAGAAGATCAGACCACGTCCTGACAGGCTATTTATTACGTTATACAGCTAAGGATGAGACTGAGGATCTGGAGGCGAGGTGCTCATCCACATTGCCTGGATCATGATGAGTGTCCTTTTAAGTGCCCCAAAGAACCAAACTCCTTGCTCAACTCTGAGAACTGTGCATGGTGTCACAGTCCTATAATCCCAGTAGTCAGGAGGCTGAGGCAGCAGGATTGAAAGTTTGAGGCCAGTTTGGGCAACAATGTACTCTATCTCAAAAACTCAAACCAAGCCCAAACAAAAGAAACCACCCCCCATTGAGAAAGAAATCTTGTTTGCAAGAGCTAAAACACAGACTCAGTGGAAAAGTCCATCTGTGGGCAAATGGAGGAGTCGTGAGGCACTGCCTACAATGGCAGAACATTATTTAGCTCTTAAAGAGAGGAAATTATGAAAAAGATTTGTCACATGGAGTAAACCTGTTCCACAAGGACAAACACTATTAGATTCTACTATGGTGTCTGAAGAACACAAACTCATGGGAACAGAAGGTACGGAGATGGTTGCTAGCAGCCGAGGGAAGGGGAAGCAGGAATTATTGTCTAATGGGCACAGCCACTTGGTAAGAGTTACAGAGAAGATGGAGCTGTTGTTACACAGCACTGTGAATGTATCCATGGTACCATATTTAAAATGGTTAAGATGGCAAGTTTTGTGTGTATTTACTTCACTAAAAATAAAAAGAAGACTGATGAAGAGGCGTATTTGACAAAGAGACCACAGACCCTACGATTGGGGTGCTGTAGCCACAAGCCTACAAGCTACACAAGATAGAGTAGCACCAGATCTAGAGGCAGCAGAGAATGGAGGTCACCCGGCGGCCTCTAGCAGACATGTCTGACCTTGACATTGTAATTCAACACTGCAATCTTCAAAGTTCCTGCTCGGGAACCGTGTAAATGAGTCACAAATAATTCACCAAACATCTCCTAATATTTTCAGTAAGTTCATGGTTTTGTGTTGCCCCTCTCCTGATTATCCTGGGGTGCATGTGGTCTGGAGGCTGTGGGTTGGATATGCCTGAACGGGGAATGAGACCCAGCCTGCACTCTGAATTTAGATTTCTGGTCTCCAGACCGACAAGATAATTAATTCCTGTTCTTTTAAGCCATCCAGTTCCTGGTGATCTGCTGTAATGGCCATAGGCAACAAATATACTTGGTATAGTGTTTAGAGAAACCAGGATAAATTAAAACATGGAAGAATGTTGGTGCAGTATTGTGGTTCTAGAATGTAATATTTCAGAGTATTAAAAAAAAAAGACCAATGCAAAGGGGGGATAAAGAAGGGGGGGATCTAGATAATTTGCTTGCAAATTCTCTAATTGGAGTCTAGAGAAGAGGTGAGTTTAAAATATTTCTCAAAACTGAACCTATTAACCACTAACAGTCTAAATTCACGTTTTTAGTCAACTCAAAGGTGGTATTTTTAGTATGTTTCCTTAGAAATCACTTTTATAAGTCGACTCAAAGATTGGTACCCAAATCACAGCGTCATGTGAGCAAAATCATCATAGCACAGCAGTGGCCAATGCACATGATTTCTCTGAAGATGCTCGTCATGGGGGACTATCTGGGAAGAGAGGACCAGCAGCAGGAATGGGAGGGGATGAGAGGGGGGGTAATGGGAGTGACTATGATCACATACACTGTAAAAAAAAGATGCCATCCTTTCACAGTCACAGCTTTTGGTGAAACCAACACACTTCTCCAGGCTCTGAGAAAAACCCTGTCCACAGCTCACCTGGAACCTGTGGGTGTTGATTCTGATGCAGGCCTGGGGGCGGAGGGAGGACAGATGTCCTGTGGACTGTATCGATCACCCCAAGGTTCACTTTTAAAGGGGCGGGGCACTGGGGCAGAGCCTCTAACACCTCACTCCCAGCTGTGCTCCAAGAGGAAAGGCCACCTGACCATTTCCAGAGCTTTTATGTTTGCCATGAGTGTTTTCCCCATGTTCCCACAGATGTGAACCTGCGGCATTCGCCCATTGCTCTCTGACAGCAAAGTGTGCTTGCTAAGTTCTAGAATATTTGTAAAGAGGCTTTGATGAAAACACTTGCTTCTGAGATAAAGTTTAGAGAGTACCCAGGATTCTTTCTGGTGTTTTATTAAGAGAAAATACTTTCTGGCATTTTTTGATACATTAACTAAAAAGATGATCATAACAGCTTGAGGTAATTTTTATATATAATCAATCCTGTGGCTAGATACAGTAATCCCTAGGTAATAGGATTTAGATTTAATTCTGAAAGATGAATTAAGTCTCAGTGTACATCCTGTCCTCCTGAAGCCCAGGACTCCGGGCCAACTTCTGATGCTTTCAATCAGCCACCATGGCTGGGGTTCTAAGTGACTGCCCTTTGTTCGGGACCCTTGGCCTCTAGTTGTTCTCTCTAGCAAGCTCTGTATATCTCTGGAAGGCAAGGTTAGGGATGGTCGAAGAAAACACTCTGATGCTGCAAATGGATTAACAGTGCAGGATGGTTTTAAGTCTGCTGCAAAAATACATTGCAAAGATCCCTGAAGTCAATACTTTGGGGCCTTCCTCTGCTTTAGTATTTGTATTGCCTAAGGCTGGCATGGGATCAGGAAATTGAAGGGACTGCTGGAAACTTCCATAGCATCATTATCTGGGACACAATTTATCTCTGGACTGCGGTGTGCTTTGGTGAAGTCCTCCTCAAGAGCTATTGTCCTCAGGACACAAAGGTTTTTGTCTGCTCGTTTAGTTGAGCCCTTGTGACCAAATGAATGGATACACAGAAAACCACAAAGCCACACACTAGCTAGAAGCTCACTGTTTCTCCTTCCCCTGCTCCTCTCAGTTGTCCTCAAGAGGTTTCTGTACATAGTGTACCTACCCTTTGGGATCAACATTTTGAAGAAGCAGATCTGGACTGCATTGTTTTTATTAGAGAAAATCTGCTTTGTGTTTTAAAGTCATAATAAACAAGGACTATAAAGTAGAGACAGAAAAAGATGAGGCTAATTTTAAAATATGTTTCAAAATGGGCTTAAACGTCTGTATCCCAGAGAGAAATTTTATTCAGCAGCTGAATGGCCTGAAACAAGGACCTAGAGTGACATCTGGGAAATTCCTATAAATTCCATGCTATCTCATCCCAGGAGAGGAGGAAGTACTGATTCATGTCTGAGACATGACTGTTCAGGAATGTGATAAGGGGGGGCGTGCCTGGCATGTACCAGATATGGTTTGAATGTGTTTTCCAGAGATTCAGTGCATGGAGCTGAGTGTCTGTGTGATGACATTGAGGAAGTGGATTCCTTTATGACATAGGCTACAGAGTGAGGCCATTGGTGGGTAGAGCTACAGTAAGGACTAGTGCTGACCTTCTGGAGTGTATTCTCACAAGCCTGGATTGCTAAAAAGTGAGAGTACTGTATGTTTGGTCTCTTCTGCCTGTGGTCATTTCCTTTTCCTTCCTTTGACTTCCTTTGGCCCTTGCCAGAGGCCAAACATATGCAGCTCCTAATCTGAGATGTTCAGTCCCTATAACTGTGAACTAAATAAGCCCCTATTGTTAAATAAAATACTCAGCACCGGTTATTCTGTTATGGTAGCCAATGAATGAACACAGCTGACGGTGGTTCATCCCGGGAGCTTACTTTAGGCACAATAAACTCTGCACTGGGCTTTGGTGTTGGAGCAAAGCAGGGACAACTTTCATCCTCTTAAGCAGTTTCCTGCTGTAAAGACTGCAGATCGTTTAACCTGGTCATTTTTATTCACATGCACAACCTGACTCACCTCTCTCTGGAGGTTGATGTCCGCTCCCTGCAGAACCAGCTCCCTCACACAGTCTATGTGGCCAGCGTAGGAGGCAACCATGAGGAGGGTGGTACCATGCTACATGGAGAAGAAAGACATGGACGGTTATGCTGTCACGGTAGAGAGGGAGCCTAGTGGACACTGCAGAGGTGGGAGCGTCACCAGACGGGGCGCATGCGATGAATGGCTCACGAGTAACTATGAAGCCCACTGCATGGGAAGAAGCAAACCGATAAGTCACCAAGGTTGGAATTTGAAGGTCACAGATTCACTTGCATCCATCTCCTTCAGAAACAGTCCAAGGGAAACACTGAGACTGCATTTTAAGCCAGCAACGATACAATGTTCTCATTTTATGACTCACACTGAATGCTTCCTGATCCAAAGCACTGTTATTAATTCAGAAGTGAGTTGGATGTTACCAGATGGTTTTCTGCATCTGAAAGGTTTTTGTTGTTCTTGCTTTGTATATTCATTTACAATGTAAGCTGATCTTTTCCACTCCCAACCTTTCCCTTTCTCCCTACACACCTTCAGGTCCTCTCCTGTCTCCTCTCTGGAATGCTGAGTTCAATCAGTGCCACCTGCTACAATGTTGACTGATGTTGCTCCTGTGCAGGTGACCACAGCTGCAGTGAGTTCGTGAGTGCAGGGGCCATGCTGTGTCCAGAGGACACAAGTGAACTTAAAAGTCTTAAAATGTTTTCTTTCTTTCTTTTTAGGCCACCATGGGCCGCATAACGAGAAATGTGCCTAAAAATCTTTTCTATGTCTTATTTATTTCTCAAAGAAGAGTGGGGTTTATTTAGAAAAAGTTTTAACTCAGATGCAAGCATGGGTATTAAGGGAAAGAGAGAGAATCTCAGGGAAAGGATAAAACACTCTCAACTATGGACACGGGCTTCTTAAGAGCCAGCCAATTTTTTAAATCTGTCTTGATTTCTTCTTTGACTTGTTCAGTAATGTGTTGTTTAATTTCCATGAGTTCCTGTAGTTACTGGAGAGTCTTTTGTTGTTGATTTTAACTTTCAGAGCATTGTGTGGTCAGGGAGTGTACCTGGGGTTATTTCATTTTTCTTTGAATTTGTTAAGAGTTGTTTTGGGTCTCAGAATGTGGTCTGTTTGAAAGAAACTTCCATGAGCTCCTGAGCAGACGGTATATTCTTTGGTGTTTGAGTGGAATGTTCTGTGGATGTCTGTTTGGTCCATTTCATGTATGATGTCTTTAATTCTGCTTTCTCTGTTTCTTTACTCAAATGATCGCCTTTCCTCTGTAGTCTTCATGACTGGAGTGACAATCTTACTATCGCTATCCTTTTCCTGAATGTGGACAGTTTTTATTTAGATGAGAAAAGAATCTTTGGCGCTGAAATCTTCATGCTGAAATCTAATCCCCATTGTGCTGGTGTTAGGAGACAAGCCTTTTAGGAAGTGACTAAGATGTGAAGGGCTTGCCCTCCAAGTAGGATTAGTGCTCATATGAAATAGCTGGGGGGGGCCTCCTGCCTGTTCTACAGAGAAGGCTCTTAGCAGACACCAAATCCGCAGGCGCTGGGGCTTGATTTCCCAGCCCACATGACTGTGAACAATAAACTTCGGTTGTTTATAAACTGCCCAGCCCGAATTATTTTATTATAGAGCTTCAAGTGGACTCTTGGTTTAAAGACAATTTGTTTAAATAAGCTATAAGTACATCCTTTTACATGAGAAGTAAGAAATATATATATATACATATATATATATATATACATACATACATATGTGTGTGTGCCTCACAGGTCACACCGCTGTCAAAATAAAAATGAGTCACGAGCAGAAGAAAGTAAGAAGCACCTAATTTGGATATTTAAAAGAGAGCAAGAGGCTGGAGAGGCTCAGTGGGTAAGCGAGCATACTGCTGCTGCAGAAGGCCAGGTTCCCAGCACTCACACTGGACCTGTAGCTCCAGCTTCAGGGGATCTGACACCACACCCTTTTATTTATTTATTTTTTTTGCATCCATGGGCACTTGCATTCATGTGACATAAATAAAAGAAAAGGAAAAACAAAAGCACTCTCTCTTGGAAGCCTGTCACGCTTCTCATCTTTCAGCTTGTATGTAAGTTTTTTCTCTGGCAAATAATCATATTCATTTCCACATTACATTGCCCATCCTTGTCAGTTGGTGTCAGAACCTAACCACGCCTTCAAAGAGGTAGGAGCATCTGCGCTGACCGGCCAGCCACACGGCTTCGGGCTGCACTTCTTTGTCCTTGGCTACATCAATTGCATGTATGCTGCCACTTGCAGCTCATGCTGCCAAGACCTTCCCCTCCACCTGCCCAGCCCCGAGGTGAGTGCTGACCGGGCAACTGCGGATCTCACCCCTACAATCAATCATCAGAATAAGTGACAATCCTGGAGCTCAGATTCCATGACAGGTGCCACACGGAAGAGGCAGATGCCCAGCCAGAGAAGCAAAGTCCCGCATTGTCTCCACATATCTCCTCGTTCCTCCGTACCACTAACTGCCCTTTCAAAACAGCAAGATGTCTGGAGCCACCAGCATTTAGACGCGCTCCTTGTGTGCAGAAATTGCTTCCCCAGAAACTTCCTGAATAAGTAACTACTAAATTTATTTTAAAATTTTGCTTATTACTACTTTGTGTGTGTGGTGTGCATGTATGAGGGTGTACATGCTACAACATACATGTGGGGGTCAGATGACAACGTTGTGGAGTCACTCCTCTCCTTCTGCCTTCATATGAGCTCCCAAATCAAACTCAGTTCATCAGGCTTGAGGCCAGCGCTCTTACCTGCTGAGCCATCTCACCTGAGGGGTAATCTAAGAGGGGTAATTTATAACGTACTTATTTGTTAGCCTATTCATGGGTGCAAAAATCTTGTCCAAAACTGTTGCTAGCCCGATACACACAGTGTAAGCCCCGTGGGAGGGGTGGCGGCATAGATGACTCAGGGTACCAGAAAAGGTGTGTCTGTGAGGTACAGCAGGGTGACCTTCAAAAGCCAGAACGCAGAGGATGTCACAGGAGTGTCTGAAGAGGGATGACTTAAAAAAAAAAAGGAAAGGTAGGCACCAACATGGTCAGAGACAAGGCCACAGGTGGCGACTGGTTCCTACCCCTTCATGTTGGTCAGTGTGGGGCAGGAACTCATCCATTGAGACCCAAGTAAGACCAGGGTGACAGTTCACAGATGCCTAGAGTCTCCTTTAAGCCTGGGTTCTGACAAAGAACAGATTGTATATTCAAATTGGAATAATCGGGGGAAAATTTAATAGACCATTCATAAAGTAGTCGTCTGGCAGTGTAGCCCTGGAACTTAGTGACAGCAGGGCTCTGTGAGTGGCCAGGCTTGAGGTACTAAAGTGAGCACCAGTGACAGGCTGGACAGGAGGCCGATGACCCCTCCCGCAGATGTTTTATTGGCCAAACTGAACTGAAGGACCAAGGGAGGGAGCCTTCTGGGCATTTCTTACGATTCAGATTCTGGTCCCAGGGCCATCCAGGAAAAGGCACAGAACAGATCTGAATGTCCCTGTTGACCCAGTGAACAAACTGGAGAAAACCCTGCCTTTTCTTCCTTGGGTCACTGGTGGGTTTCGCTGGCAAATTTGTACATCAAAGCTGAAATGGTACTCTCTGTCTCAAGGAAAACGTTTTGTTTCAAACCACAAAACCATCTCCTTATGTGAGGTCCTCCTTGTCCCCAGGGGTGTGGGGAAGTCTCGCTAAACACAGAGAAGTGATGACTTCTGGTTGGGGAGGGGAAGGCAGCTCTGGGTGGGACCTGCTGATGGCAGTAGCACCTACTTCTAGCTTACACTTGGTGACTTCCCTTTTTCCAAAGTGAAAGGACAGGAGGCTGGTGCAGGCTTCACTTTCTCAGGTTTTGCATTAATGTATGAAAACCACAACAATCCTGGCATCCCACGTGTACTCTAAATTACCCTCCCTCCTTTCCCTCCCTCCTCTCCCTCCCTCCTCTCCCTCCCTCCTCTCCCTCCCTCCCTCTTACTCTCCCTCCTTCCCTCCCTCTCTCCCTCCCTCCCTCTTACTCTTTCTTCCTCCCTCCCTCTCTCCCTCCCTCCCTCCCTCCCTCCCTTGCTCCCTTTCTTTTTAACAGCTGTTTACTAAACAGCCCTTTATTCTTGGGACTTGCCAGTCTCCTTCCTAACGAAAGCGGTCATTCACTGTTCAGGAGGCCTTCCGTTCTCAGTGCACAACCGTTTGCTTTCTGACTTCCTCAGTATGTTTCTAGGCTTCTTGGAAAAGAATAAAGCAAGCAAACACGAGAAGTACATGAGCATGAGAAGGGCGTGCATTCATGAGGAGCTCATGCCTGCAGTGTGCAAAGGCGTGCTCTGGGCATGCAGATACCATGTCTTCCATACACTGTCTCTGCAGTCCACATCCACGCGACCACTGTTTAACAGCAGTTTCAGCAGGGCCAGGTTTCCCCTCCTCGCTGCCCAGAAGGCAGCGTTGGCAAGCGGCGTTTCCTTCTGCAAGAGTGGAAACAAACAGGGTCTTAAAATAGAAGTCAGTGTTCATGGCTGCTTCTATGCACATAGGTAACACATTCCCAAAGGAAGAACTTCTAGATGAGGGGTGATCATTTGCAAGACTGCCCGCCTCTCCGTTTATGAGATTATTGTATCATTTCAGGCTGTGAGAAGTGTCATTTATTCCTAGATCTCTGGGCGCATCGCTGTCTGCAGAGCACTGCTCTGATACACCACATCAGTGCCTTATCCCCACCAAAGCCTCGGCTGCTTCCTGCTTCTGTTGGGTCTTTGTTCACAGTTTCCTTTAACTTGAAGTGATTTCCCCCATCCTAGAAGGACAAGGTTCTTGCTTGATGCCATCCCCCTCTGAAGCCTGCTGAACAACTGGGTCCTTGTTAGTGGAGCAAAATCTCTCCCTTCTGACCTTTGAAAGGAGTTTAGTTGTACCTTTTCTTTAACATTCCTAGCCCATTCCAGCTATTGGGGGTAGGCAGCGTATCTCCCCTCTGCCCAATTTTTTTTCCTTCAATTGGAACTTGCCAGAAGTTTTGGGTGAGAACTAGGGAATCTGGGCAGAGAATGCAATTTTGTGTCCCTCCTCACTCCGTTGCTGGGACATTTTTAAAGTGGCTAAATTAAAGTTTGGCCATACCTACGGAAGAAGAGGACAGGAAATAAAGTCTCCAAAAGGAATGGCAGAATAAGTCAGTTACATTTCTTGTGCTAAGACAAACTGGTGTGGGTTTGTAGAGAAGAATCCTTGGCTGGGGACTAGACAGCTCTGAGGTTCAGATTGCCACACAAAAATGGCTTTGTTCATGGGAGTCATTGTTGCCTTTTGCTTAGATAGAGATCAAAATATCTGCCCTGAAGGGGAGAGAGGGGGGACGGGGAGGGGCAGGGAGAGGGGGGTGGGGAGAGGCAGGGGAGGTAAACTAATGGCTTAAAAACCAGTTCTTATGTTTTTTTCTTAACCGAAGCACTCCTTCTTGGAAGGAGACACAAAAGGCTCAAGAAGTAAACAAAACTTGAAGGGCTCAGGAAGCTCCTAAAACCCACAAGATTCACATGACTTCCTCCTCAAGGTTATGGGCTGTAACAACTGCTGAAGAGAGGAGACTCTCTAGTCAGCCAAGCCCTTGTCAGCTGTGGCAGGAGCTCCAGGGAGGGAGGCAGCTTTGCGGGGTCATCCATCACCCAATCTGAGGTGGCCAGTGGGGGGGGGCGTTCCGAGGGTGAAGCTGCTTTTCAGTCACTTCTGCTCTTCTAAGTAACCCCAGTAACTCACTGGCTCACAGACTTGGGGTAAACATACACAGGAAAGGCACACAACACCAACTTACCACAAGTGCTCACACGTGCTCATTTCTCCCACTCCACATGCTTTCCTTTATGAAGTAAGACTAATGGGGAAAATTAGGTTCCAAATATTAGTACTGTTACAGAATGTTTCTGCTCTCAGGACATGCTACGGTATTCACATTACTAATGAAATGATTTGGGGATTGTGTCAACACAGCTCTTTGACCACAAAAGCCTATTTTTAAACATCTTTTAAATGTAGTCACATGGCTAAAAACATTTGGTCTCCTAGGAATATATTGACCAATGACTCTAGCTATCTTAGTTTGCATATTCTATGGCTGTTCATTCAATGAAACCATCTAAGTCCATTCCTCTTGACGTCTATTGTTTTTTGTTTGTTTTTCAAGACAGGGTTTCTCTGTGTAGCCCTGGCTGTTCTGGATCTCATTCTATAGACCAGGCTGGCCTCAAACTCACAGACATCTGCTAGCCTCTGCCTCCTGGAGTGCTAGAACTAAAAGTGTGGGCAACCACTGTCCAGCACACTTTGCTGTTTCAATTGAGCTTCAAACATGTGGAAAAACCACCTGCAAGCAGCAAGTGTTGACTACCAGAAGGAGCTTTGGAGCAGGGGATTCTCCTCTGTCTAGGATGGTTTTGGAAGTTCCTCTCTGGTTGGGCTGGACAGACCGGTTTCCAAGATTCTAGACAATGAGCTTAGTAAAAAGCAGCAAGTATTTTATTTTCCTTGCAGCATCACCCTCAAAAGAGCAGAGTGGAGGATGTGAGGGGGAAAAAAGGAATGAGATTATGGGGGCCAGGGACCAGAGACCTAGAGCAGAGTGGATCCATGAGCTTGCACTTTACCCTGGGGATTCAAGGAGGTGTCTGAAGGTGAGAAATACCAGTTTTGCACACAAGAAAAGCTCCAGTTACTGTGAAGGAGGAGAGGATGATGCAGAGCTAGAGTGATATTAGTGTATGGAAGGCAAGAGATGTAGGTGCTGGATTCACAGACTGCTATGGGAATGGGTGATGGGGAAGGCCTTCTGTGTATATGTTGTCTTATTGATTGACAAACAAAGCACTGTTGACCAATAGGGAACCAAGATAGGTGGGACTAGGAGTTGAGGAGGATGCTGGGAAATGTAGTCAAGAATAGAGGGTTGTCATGTGATCCTGGGAGGAGAGGGCACAAGTCTGGCATTCTTGGTAAGACATGACCTTATAAAATATATATTAGTAATTATGGGTTGATAATTAAGTCAGGGCCCAGCCATTAAGAAACCATAGCAAATGGCCAACAGCTTCATAATTAATACAGCATCCTGTGTGTTCATTTGGGACTACGTGGCTCTGGGACCAGGCTGGCGGGAGAATACACATTACAAATGGGAACAGGAGAGACTGACTGTCTTGGAACTTGCTCTGTAGACCAGCCTGGCTTTCAACTCCTAGAGATCCTCCTGCCTCTGTCTTTGAGTCCTGGGACTAAAGGCATGCGCCACCACAATGAGCTCAGCTTTGAACATGTTAAGTTCCAATTGCCTATGGGGGAACCCAGGAAGAAATGTCTTGCAAAGAAAAGGGTGTACGCCAGTCTGGCAGTGTGGCCCCACACGGAGTAGAGGCCAGGCATCTTCAGCTAACACTTAATGAAGTTCACACTCAGCGCCACACGGTGTGCTGTCTGCATGGATGTCATTTAACCCTCAGCACAGCTGAGAGATGGGTATTGTTATTCGCCATTTCAGACAAGGTAAGGGAAACGGCAAGGCAGGCACTGCACCAAGCAGGCTGCGGATCCAGGCTGCCCCTTCTGTGAGCTGCCACACTGTTCTACTGCCCACAGAATCTAGGAGACAGCAAGGAATAAAGTGGTGGGGCCTCCAAGGCTACAGTGACAGCCAGTGACCTCTCCACCCTCCCTTCCAATCTCCTGTCTTGCCAAGACAGAAAGTTCCCCCAACTTTCCTTTCCTCGGGGAGTCTACAGGAGTCACAACCCCTGGATAACTTCCAAATCTCCCCATGTACACACTGTGTACAGAACCATAAAAGGTGTGTCAAGGGCTGGGTAAGATCTTCAGCCATTGATGCTCTCTGTCCCCTCCTTCCCCCTCCCTCCCTCCCTCCCTCCCTCCCTCTCTCCCTCCCTCCTTTCCTTCCTCCCTCCTCCCCTCTCTTCCTCTCACAACTCTATACATGCATTATAAATCTCTGTAAAAAATAAAGGAAATAAAAAAGATGATACTTATAGTGAGTGAATTATATGCCAGGTTAAACATATCCATTTTGTTAATGTATTTTCCCGTGGCTTCTCCGAGTAATTTAAGGTAAGTGTTGAACTGGATTTCACTCTGAGGAAATTTATGTTTGGGGACTTGGATGAGGCACATGGGCTCTTGCAATCATCTAGCTTGGCTTCAGCTATGACCATAAAACTCAAGAGTGGGTTACTTCATCTTCCTGGCTAAGACTTGCTCTAGAAAGTCCCAGAAACTTCTGTTTCCTCTTATCATAAACTTCCCCCATCCCCAACTGAGTAAGGCTCTTGGCAACCTTAGTCCTGAAGATCAAGACAAGTGGTTAGAATAGCAGTTAAAAAATGTGTGTGCGCGTACACACCCCCCCCCCACACCACCACCACTGCCACTGCCACCGCCGCTACCACCACTACCACCAACCAAAACCCAAAAGCCCTCAGTCTTACACGGTGACTTAGTTGCTTTCTAGTGCTGTGATGAAACGTAATGAATAACCAAAAGCAACCCGGGGAGGAAACTTCACTTGATCTTATACTTCCGGCTAAGAGTCCTTTGCTGAGGACGTCAGGGCAGGAACTGCAGCAGAGGCCACGGTGGGGGAAACCTCACTTGATCTTATACTTCCAGCTAAGAGTCCCTTGCTGAGGACGTCAGGGCAGGAACTGCAGCAGAGGCCACAGTGGGGGAGTGCTGCTTACTGGCCTGCTCCACCTGCCTTCTTATACCATCCAGGATCACTTGCCCAGGTGTGCTATACCCACAATTCGCTGGGCCCCTCCTGCATCAATAATCAATCAAGAAAATGCCACA